CTGACCACTACTGGACGGGAATTGCGGGAAACGCCGGATTGTGTTGAATCCCTGGTCCGAGTTCCCGGTGTTTATCGACTGGAACTGCTGTCTGAACGCCGACGATAGATCCGGTTGCGGAGGGAACTGGCGGTTAGGAAAGTAGTGTTTTTGTTGTTGTTGTAATGAATTAAGTGTTGTTTGAATGGTTTGCAAAACACTATACTTACGAATGAATTGGCGTTTGAAAAGTTTTGGAAATTAAAGTTTGAGTTATAATTGGGAAAAGTTTGCCGTCTAATGCGGGCCGTTATGTGGTGCGCGTGCGGCGGCCTGTCTACCTGTGCCGTCGACAGTACGGCCAGTATTTGCACGGATATCAATACCGGCGCCAACCTATATGTCGAAAGCAAAGTTTTATGTTTAAAAAACTTTTGTTATAAAATAGTTTTCATTCACTTCTGTAACTCCACTAATAATTTCCATACAAAACACAAAACTTTATTTACACACAAAACTAGTCATGCATTCAGTTATGTACTGAAAAAATATTGCATTCAAAACACAATTCACGGAATAATACATACATTTTTGTCGTAAGAATTGTATTAACGGACAGTCACTGAATGGTCACTAATGATGGGCTTATGAGAAAAACAATCACCACTTGTGTGGGCACTAATCCGCTGAAGATATGTCANAATTGTATTAACGGACAGTCACTGAATGGTCACTAATGATGGGCTTATGAGAAAAACAATCACCACTTGTGTGGGCACTAATCCGCTGAAGATATGTCACCCAAAGGCTCGTCCGATCGCTTATGTCTGGCGATGACCTAAAACACTGTCAACACAGAGAGAGACAGTGTGTGTGTGAGTGAAGGGAACAGATTATAACAGATATTCTTCGACTGTATGGCCACGTAGTGTATGCCATGTATGCTAAACAAGTTTAGACGCCAACTGTTTTTTGGGTCAATAATTTGTAAATTGAATTGTAATAAAAGATTTCTGTGTTTCTAATTGCGATTTGTGTTTAGCGTTGCGATTGTTTAACCGCCAGTTCCGACTCACCTGAGCTCCTATGTGTAGTGCTTATCGTAAAAATATATTTGGGTGCTATGCGATCGCACCGTTAGCTAAACTATTTTTGTGTAATACTGTATTTCTACACGAGAGAGAGAGAGAGAGAGAGAGAGAGAGAGCTATCAATTAATTGAAATATTTCTCAAATAAAATCTATATTTACGCTAAAAATTCACCAAAACTCGGATTAATACACATTTATACCATGAGATGAAAAGTTAGTGAATGTATAAAAAACGAATACATGTTTCGGGAGAATATCTGCATAAATATCTCATTGCCCTCAAGAATATAACATAATCTCTAAACACACACAGCAACTGATTGGTAAATAGACACCAATTTCTCAAGTTTTTCAAATCGTATAAAAAGCTTTTTTCAATTTAATTTATATTAAATATTCATGAAATATATAGAAAATAATTCTGAATTTTTGTGCGGAACAGGTTTACACAGCCAGTGTGTGTGAGTATGCTATGTATGGCCCACTTTAGGGAATAAATTTTTACTAAACTTTTTTATTTTGCCGAACAATATATTCTTTAAAATCTTTATATAAGTTATACTGAATTATAGGTATATATATATATAAATGGCTTATAATGGGCTACCTCTCCACTCTCGACACCGTCTAACCCTAACCCTAAACGTAACCTAAATCTGTTGAAAAGATTTAAATCAACAATTAATACAATAAACTAAAGAGTTTTCATTATATAATACAGTATTCAACAGTAAATTTTATACTTTTATATCAATTTTATAAGCATTTATACGTCTATTAAATGGAAAAATACACAATCATTTCCGATAGTATTATATTCCGTCGGGAATTCATATTAGCCTTAATTGATATAATTTCTCTCAAATTATAGATAATTTATTTATTCAATTGTTTGCCGAAAAATTTTATATACAATTCATTCAAATATGAAAAACTTATATTTCATTTCGCAGACGATTCATATCACATATCATTAAGTTTTATAAATCAGTTTTGTTTAGAAAATGAATACATTTCACGATTTGAATGGCAATTGAATGCGAGAATTGACTTTTATACATGAAATGTATTATTATATTTATGAAATTATATATTGAATGCTTTGAGTATTAATAATAAAATGCATATAATTTAAGAGGCGGTCAGGCGTTGACTAAAAGAAATCGAAAGTTTACTAACATTTAAATTATCCGACAAATTGCTATCGAAATCTTAATTAAACGCTATATTTATGCAAATTATGTATGAATTAAATAATGACTTATAATTAATGAATTATTTTCAATAATAATTATTATAAGTAGATATTAATTCAAACATAATATAGATATCAACTTTAATTTAATTTAAATACATTATTTAAAAATGATTTTTACTATAAGTATTAATAAAAGTTTACGAAATCGTAATTTCAAAAGGTTTTAAAACTTTTTTAGGCAATAAATAAATGTTAGAATATAAACCAAAAATATAACGAAATGCTTTGTATATAAATCAACAGATAATATAAATTATGAGCATTTAAAAGCGTATAATTTTCATAATGTATGCACACATTAAATATAGTCTCAAATATAATGCCTTATTAATTAATATAACAAATAGTCTTACCGTTGAGAACAGGTATGCAATGGTGTGATCGAAATGAGGGCTCAAAAGCACTCATCTCTGGGTCTCAAAGAGATAATCATTTGCCGAAATGTATGCAACAAATAGTCATAAAGTTTGCGATAACTATATTCATCAGACGAGTAGTCGAAACGGTAATAAACAAAACAATTGTTTGCACACAAAAAACAAACTTTTCTCCCGTTTTGTAAACTATTTGGAGTGAAACGACTGAATACACCGGCGCTCAGTCAGTGTCTATCTATCTCAGCAAACTTTTGGTACACTATTTTGAACGATAAAAACAGTTTTATTTTGTCGATAGATTCGCCGAAAAACCTATGGTTTGAAACCAAAAACTAACTGTTCTTTAAAGTGAGAACAGGCGGCAAAAAAGTTTTCAGCGCCGACTGTATAGGCTGTGCCCCTGACCTACTACTCGGCCAATCCATGCCTTCCAACAATTCTCTCTCTCTCTCTCTCTCTCTCTCTCTTAAAACAGATAAATTCATCCCATTTTAGAAAAATAAAAGATTTTCTTATATTTTTAATTAAGTGTTGCCTTTATGTGTGCACACAATTAGGTGATAGGATCTCTGTATATAAAGTATATGTGTATATATATAAAACGAGGGGAACGGGACGTATGGCTCAGCAAGAGTACAAAAATGTATCACAAAAAACTAATACCCGTTTATCTCTCACTCATTCATCAATAATTTTTCTCTATATTTATCGTGTTTTTTGCACACAAAGCAAAACTCTTGCAGTCATTCTCTCGCTATTGAACTTCAAATGAGTGTATAATTTGTTTTACTTTTTTCTCGTGAATTTACGAGTTTTACTCCGCAATGGACTCAAAAAAAGTTAATCCGATTTCCAGATTATGATACGATGAGCGTATGTAATACAGGTTATAGTCGCTATTATATACTAAACAAGTCTGTTATCGCATACATGTACTGGTATACATGTTATACAATATGCATACATTAATTATAATTATAAAAATTGAGAATAGTTTGCATAACAAGTGAATTACGAGAATATATTTGCAAAAATTTGCATTAAAATGCAATTCTTGGCACAAAATGCCCACACAATCGCTCGCACTGTCAGTATATATGGGCACCAAATTGAGTGGACATTAAGTGATGAACTGTTTATGCGTTTGACTGGAGAGTGGAGTATAGGAGGAGTGGATGAGAGAAAAAGAGCTTCAATTTCGACCCCAATTCGAGTCACTATTATATAAGCGATGAGCGAAGCCTTACATAACACACGAAGTTATTTAGTCCGTCCGCGTCCTTGACATTCACACTAACCTATTTAGCCGGCGCTCAATAACTGCCATAACTATCGCACAATTACATGAATTGATAGCAAACTCCTTACAGCTAGTGATGAGAGAGAGAGAGAGAGAGAGAGAGAGAGAGAGATGAGGAGAGCGTCTAATCTTAATTTCTAATCAAATCCGCGTTTCAATTGTGTGTCTAATAACACACTAAACAACTGTTTTTTACATTATATGTCAAAAATAAACATGCCGTTTTATGACCAATGGTTTTGAAATTAAAATTTCTTTCTATTTTAATAGAAAACAGTTTTTTGAGAATTTGTTTTCTATTGACTCAATGGAAATAAGGTTAATATTATGTGCGATAGATATACTGTACTCTGTGTTTATGAATCCCGGTGCTTAATTAAGTGTTAATTTTTTAGGCGAAAACAAACTATTTTCTAAACACAATTAATCTCTCATTTGTTACATTTATGCAGAAATATAATTTTTGACTCACTATTTGCCCACAAAAAAAGGTTTTCCCATCAAAACAGAAAAAGTCATTTCACTTTGAATTTCCTATAACTCCTTAACTCCAAAAATGTCAGCAAAAACTCCGCAAACAATAGTCGTCTTATAGCTGCAGAAAAAGTCGTGTATTTTTTTAATACAAACTTTTTGTGTGTATATATTTTTTATGGGCAATAAGTGAAGGCGAAAAGCGTGACATTTCACGAGTCATCAAACTTTTCATAACATATTATAAATATAAGACAAAACATAGTTTTTTTTCTGAGCTAATGATACTAGAAATTTAGGCGCTTTTTTGCCGAGACCCAACACCTAATCAAACAAAAATGCTATACATATAACATCGTGAACACGAATAGTGTGTATATACTTGTATCATGTATTAAAATAAAGTTTTTTATGTCTTTAATGTCAAACACAAGTAGATTTCGTCGACGATATCACACGACAGTCGATATTCTCACACATTATACGGCAGTATATCGTCGGGAAAAATGTATTAATATTTTCGTTAATTGGTTAATACATTCAAAGTCCTATTTCCGTCATAACAATCCCATATAAAATTATTATTACTTTTTGGTCTCTCTCTCTCTCTCTCTCTCTCTCTCTCCACTCAATATGTATTTAATTTTTTTAGGGCTAATGACCCGATATTCAGTTTAATAAGATTCACACATAAATTCAGTACAAATTCAAGCGAAATAAAAAAGTTGGTGTTTAAACTTTTAAAAGTTTTGTTTTATTTAATAATATTGTATAAAATTATTTTTACAATTCTCTCGTACCGGATAATTCATGTCAAACGCTTTATTATAAATGTATGGCTTATATAACTAGTAACACTAGCCCCCATTCTCACCCCCACTACACCATCACTATTTACCTACCTGTCCTTAAATATCATACACCTCATAGTATTGTACCGTTTAAGTCAAGAATAATAACTTATTAAACTCATTATATATTTTCATAAATAAATATTATTAAGTTTTTTTTATATTTTGCATCGAAAATAAGTCAAGTGTTTATTCAAATGCGAAACTCTTTTCTTATAATCATTTGTCAGTATTTTTACTAAATTGAAAGTAAAGTGAGTCAAGACATATACGCGCCGCACAAAAGGCCTGGGATTTCATTTAGAGTTTCAAAATTCAAGCCTTTATTTCCTAACACCAAAGATAGCCAACGATTACGAGTATATGTATGTAATTAAACACCCGTCTCATTGTCTCGCAGTTTTCATAATTACATCCAAAACACTGTGTCTGTAGTTTCAGACATTAATCTTAATTTAGCTGCGAATACAGGGTTTGAAATTTTAAACCCCTTCCCACCCGAGTAGTCAACATTTGGTCATATATTGTGTGCTTGAATTCAAACATCAGTTTTCAAATTCATATGATTTGATTGATTGAGACTAAGGTTTGTTTAATATTTTATAATAAAAAAAGGTTAATTCTTTACATAAATAGACTGACAAATAGTATACAAAAATAAAAACAATAATAAAATTGAAATACAAGTCAATAAATCTCGATATAAGTCATAAAAATAAGGATTTTTTCTATATTCCGAGTGTTTTCAAAGTGAAACAAATGTATCCATTGGCTTATCCTGATTACGATTGGCATTAGACACACATATAAAAGTATATTCAATGGATTACCACATATTCTATGGCAAAGTGTGGGTCACACATACGAAATGATTTATTTTGCACTGATTTCCCTCGATATGAAAACGTTAAGCAAAAAGCAACACAAAAAAAGTTTGCAGTCATAAGAGATACGAAGCTCTCAATTAATTAGACCGCAAGTCATACAGCAATTCAAATCTTAATCGAGAAATATTTCATTTGGAAAAATAGTTTTATTCACTTTTGTTGCAACAAATTTGTTTGGAAAAAGTTTTTTGGACTTAATTTTGTTTTTGATTTGTTTTTCTAAATACAAATTACATTTTTTATTAAGTTATAAGTGTTTACTATAACTATTGACTGACTGTTGAGAGAGAGAGAGAGAGAGAGAGAGAGAGAATTTAAAAATAAATCTCATATTTATAGGCATTAATAAGTAGTGACATAATTCTCGGTGGACCTTTTTTAACACATTAAAAATATTTCGTAAACATTTTCTTATCATTTTTAAGTGCACTTATGTCGCACACGGCTAATGCAATACAACTCCAATCGACTTTCATTTACTACAGAAAAAGTGCATATTTTTTGTGTGTGTTTTCATTTGAGATCTCGAGCCGTGATTTCACTACTAGTTCCTTAAAAAGTCATATTTTCGCCACAAAAATACAAGTCTAACCATTAGTATAGGTATAGCCGACAGAGTAATTAGGCGCACGACTTATGGGAAGTACGGCACAAGTATTCATAAGTATAATACGAGTACTACTCATCAAACTGCCGGCGCCCGTGTAAACACCCAATTGTTTTGCGCGCACAACGAAATAAATAATAAAAATAATTATAAAACACATAATTATTATCAAGAAATACTTTCCCACAAAATAAGTCTATATATAGCGCTTCAATAGGTGTTAACCGGCAATCATAACCCAAATTGTTAGCAGCATTTGCGATGATTTCTCGTAACACTAACAGGAATTACAGCTCATTTGCAATTCAAATGCATTTGCATTCAAATGATATTTTCAACTAAAATCATAAATATGATGCAAAACAAAAACTTTTGAAACTTTTTTGTTTGCTTTTTCGCGAATACATTGTCTCTAATACACAGAGAAATGTACGAATAAATCAACGCTTAAACTGATAGTCATTTTCATTGAAATGGATCGCGAGAAACAAAACAAAAAAGTCAAGAATTTGTTTGAAAAATAGTTTTCTTATCGCAAAAATCCTTCAAATTTTGTTTGAAATGACATTAAATATATATATATTTCTAATCCATTTTATTAGTTATTGATTTATGCGTGCATTTCAAATACCCTCAAACACTGGAAACTATTAACAAGTTATTTGTCTTAAGCGTAAAAAAATTGAATTCAAATGTTTGGCAAACATACAAAATACTAAATGTTTGATAAGTTTCTAATTAATATCCAAAACTTGATAACAAATTCATGAAATACTATTCAAATGATTCATATTCTTATTGATTGAAAAAATATCAGAGAGAGAGAGAGAGAGACCAGAATTGATTTAGCTTGCTAACTTAAATACAATTTATTAATACTTAAACATAGTTTGCTTGCTTTGAAAGTAGGGAACAGTTTTTGAAAAACTTTTTTGCTGTGAATTTGTGAATCAATAGGAATATTCATAAATGACGTGGATGACACAGTGGATTTGTGCCCTGCTCATTTTTCGTATATTGATTATTACGTTGCAAAACGTACTGTAAAATCATCATAAGCCAATCATGACGTAGGCACTTTTATAACTGTAATATTTTTACGCTAGTCAGCCATCATTCATAATACTCCTCCGTACAAACACCACTTGGCAATATTCCCCAACATGCGAATCAATCACCAAGATCACCTATCAACCTATTACTAGCCCTCACAAATAATACACCAAACATACGCTAACTAACCTCAACTAAACTAACCATGCTAACTCGCGACACACCCTATTAATCACTACACACCCACTGTATGGGGGAGGAGGGGATACCACGGATAGGACTGCGCCTACCAGTCGTCGCACGCCATAGAGTGGCACGAAATGACGCCTGGCGTCGAGCCCTACCCCACCCAACAGAGTGCGAGTAGAGGAGTGCGCGGGCGAAGGCATCGCAACCCAAAAGGCATCGCTTTCACGACATTTAACGGCAAAATTGCGGCCAAACTATGGACTCATTGGACGACGAGAGCGGCGGCGATGGACACGACTCGGAGGGTGAGTACGAGGACGCGCACGGACTCCCTGTGCGGACACACATAGCCAGCCCACAGCTCCCGGTGCTGATGTCATGGGTGCGTATGCGAGATACGTATGAAGCCCTCGCTTATCGTACAATACATTGTAAACACATACGACATACCAGTCCTCCTATGACATCACCACTCGCTCCCTGGCATAGGCTGTGTGTCTCTCAGAGCACTGTCGCCTGAGCTGGTCACCAGCTCTGTCACAGGCGTACACTCCCCCACCTCCCTGTCCACCGACCCCTTGGCACTGCCTAATAGGGCGCCAAACTAACTGGATTAGTGCCATATGCTAGGCTCACCCCTACCCCAGCCCACCATTTTATGTATGCTGGCCTAACACCACGCTATAGTACCCGGGTATATCTCCATATATGATACATGTATATATATATGTGTAACTTATAGATTATATATATAGCACTAAACACAGTATATTACGGGCGTATAGTATAGTATTAGCGGCCAATCGCCAGTGTTAGGCAACCATATGTTAGGCGCTATACAAGCAGTGCATATATAGCGAAACGGCGACATTGAGTGCGAAAAACCATTTTCTCTTCACTTTTCTCATTTGGCGCTAACTTTTTCGTGGCTCTCATTCCCCGGCTCTCCAGATGTCGGCGCCGAACAACAGTTGGCCCACAAAACGCTGGTGCGATCGGCGGCCAGTCCTAACGTGTCGGCCGGGCAGGTGATCCGCACCACCAACGGACAGACGGTGGTGTTCACGTCAATGGCGGGCGGGCACGGCCTGAAGCAAGGCGTAAGTTTGGATAGTTTTAATGGTCATCCCCTCCGCCTACCGGTGCTCCGTATTGTCTACGGCACTGATAACACGGGTTTTTAGTGTAATATTTGCTACAAATTATTGCGAAAACTTTTTTTGTCGTGTTATTTGTTTAATGCGTTTAATCGCTGTATTTGTAGATTAGATATGAGTTTTAATGTGTGTTTGAAGCCTAAAAAGCGCTGTTTGTATGGCTTTCGGTGTGCGATAAGCGCTGGCATTGTGTGAGACAATGATTTGCGCCATTCATAGACGCGTTGCCAGTGTTGAGAGTGATTTGTATTGAGTGGTCGGGTAGTAGTAGTTATATAGCTGTGCGCGTAGTGTATGGTTGGCCATACCGTAGCCAAATCGGTGACCCAACTGTGCGGTTGACTAGTGTTTTGCATTCACTGGTAATTGGCATTGAGAGACAGTATGTAGTTATGCGGTATTCCTATTGACTACCAGCGCTTTTTTAGCTCCTTTTCCTGCTTCCTTGTGCTCTCTCTCTCTCTCTCTCTCTCGCCCTCACTCTCATATTATATCAATTCATACTGTGTTTAATACCATCGCAATTGCCAATTGCCAGCACATGTATGTTTTTGCGGATCCCTATCCCCTCCCACACTGTAGTGTAACTCGAAGCCAACACTGAGATATCGATATTTAATATATAAAACGCGAAATACATTTTTTTATCGCTATTTCTAAGTCCAACACAAGTTTTTATTTTACTGTCGATTCACTTTCCTGTTGTGTATGAATAGGTATTTCGTGTATAAAATTTTTTATTAATTTATATATTTCTCTATATAATACACACGTTGATTGCAAAACACTGTGTTTTTTAATTATCCATATATTTGTCTCTCATTTAAAATTCAAATATGTGTTCAAACGCTATGTATTCATAAGTAATATATTTATTTTGTTGTGTTTGAGGCGAAAAAAGTACTGATTTTTGTGTGTGTTTTTGTGTCTCATCCCTATCCCTGGCGGCCGATTACCCGCTACAGACAACTCAGGCCATAGCTGTGCCCCAAGCGGGTGGTGGCGTATCCATAGTCCAGTTACAGATACCGGCCAATCAGACAAACGTCGTGCAATCGGTCATACAGCCAAACCAGCAGTCGGTGATCCAGGCCACTGGCGGCGCCCAAACCGTACAAACTGTTCAGGTATTTAGTCTCTAGTCTAACCGTTTAATACACCTATTGTTTAGTGAGTTATCCATTCATGTGAGTGACGCTCACTATTTGGGCATTAGTTTTACGATTAGTTATTAATTGTTATGTCTATTATTCACGCAAACAGTTGCCCAAAGGGAACGTCATACTACTGAAAGGACAGGGAGGCCAGGGCTCAGTCATACACAGCGCTGATACGGACGGCGGTGTACACCACGGCCTACAGGTATGGGTAGCCCATCGAGCGCTACAATACGAGTGCGCTGACGGCTAACACTACTACCCGTTGCCCACCATTCAGATCATCTCGAAGTCAGACGACGGCGAGGAGACGATAACGCCCGTCATCTTCGAGGACGAGTCGCGTAAGCGCCGGGAGATCTTAGCCCGACGGCCGTCGTATCGCAAGATATTAAATGACTTGTCGTCGACGGAGGCCGCGGGCGCCGTGACAGCCATTCCAGCGGAGATCAAGCACGAGGAGGACCGGGAGGGCGGGGGCGACGGCACGGCCACCATCCAAGTGGGCGGACAGTACCTGAAAGTGTTGCCGGCGTCGGCCATACAGCTGGGCTCACAGGATGGCACCCTTCAAGGCATACAGACGCTCACGATGACCAACGCCGGCGCTGGCGCTACCGGCGCTATAGTACAATACGCCACTCAGGGCCAGGACGGCCAGTTCTACGTACCTGGTAGGTGTTCCCCCCACCCGGGCGTGTCTGCGCGGTTGTGTGGGTTCGCACTAATAGTTGTTTGCCATATGTTGTGGTGTTTTATGTTTTTGTTTATGAGTTTAGTTTTTGTTAAGTTGTTTACGGAATATTCTGTATGTGTTTATGAATACATGAATATTTTGTTAAACTGCGATATTTATGGCATGTATTCCAATAATTAATTCTAGTGTCAAGTCATCGGAAATTCATACAAAATTACACTAATTTCTAAATTCTTATCACTTATTATATGTTTAGCCGATAGACTGGTTAATAACAAACTATTCAATCAATTAGAATACGGTATAAACTTTTAAAATTCATCAAATGTTTATTAAAACAAATGTTTTCTCTGACAACCAGTCACTGTCTCGGCGGCCGACCTCCAGGCCTACCAAATCCGGACGCCATCGCAGACGGGTATCACCCAAGGGGTGGTGATGACGTCGACGGGCGGTCTGCAAGGGGGTCAAGTGGTGGTCGAGGAAGCCTCCAAGAAGCGCGAGCTCAGGCTTCTCAAGAATAGGTACTGTATCTCGGATTTGGAGCTCATTTCTGTGTGCATTTGATTAGTGTTTTTAACGGATTTGTTGTCCCCTTTCCGGGCGCACAGGGAGGCGGCGAAAGAGTGCCGACGCAAGAAGAAGGAGTACATTAAGTGCCTCGAGAATAGAGTAGCGGTTCTGGAGAATCAAAACAAGGCTCTCATCGAAGAACTCAAGTCTCTGAAAGAGCTCTATTGCCAAAAAGCCGACTAAACACAGCGACACGACATCTACCCGCCCGCCCCCGGCCCTCCCACCGGTTCAGTCGATTTGTTTTTATTGGGATTTTCTTATTTTGAATGAATTATCGTTTTCGACACAAATTCCTAAAACTTCGTTGAAAAGCAAAAATAAGTTATAAAATAGTGTTTCGTTTTGTTTGTTATGTTTAAACCGGGATTCGCGCGAATCAATCAATTTTGACGTTTCAATCAGTGCTCCAATCAATCAAAACTATCCATTCAATTGTCTTTATTTCATACCATTTCTCGTGTCCAACAGATCCGTGTTTTTTTTCGTACCCATTGTATCGACTAATTATCGCCACCTTTTATAGCCATAATTTTTTTTAGATTTATTTGCTGTTAACTTTGATATATAATTATTATTATTATAATACTATAATTGTTTATAATTTACAAAAAGCAAAAATATATTGACATTTATGATATTCATTACATTAGAGTTTTTTTTGACACCAAATTGTAGGCAATTTTGATTTTATGAATTATGCAATTCAGTTATGGTTAGCATAACTGAACGCAACATTATTTTTGCAATTGTTTGTACGCTTTATGTCTCGTTTAAAACACTAGTGGAAAGCCGTAAATGACTAAAAATTATTGGCTTTTATTATATAATTAAGTCTTTTTTTAATGTGTTTATCGCCCATCGATTCATTGGTAAATATACATCAAAATAGTGTTTTTTGACTGACTTTTAAGATCTCATAAATATATATATAGAGTTGTTTTTGGAGCACAAAAAATACGTGAAATATTTGTTGGAAATGTTTTCATGCATATTATATTAAAACAATTATCAATTATATTATATTTACATCAAAACAGAGAAAAAATAATATTGTAAAACGAAAAATCCTATATAATTCATTAAAACATTTATATAATTATTATAATATAATAAGTATATTAATAAATTAGTTGAGAAATATATATATATTTTTACATCAAAACAGAGAAAAATAATATTGTAAAACGAAAAATCCTATATAATTCATTAAAACATTTATATAATTATTATAATATAATAAGTATATTAATAAATTAGTTGAGAAATATATATATATTATCACAAAATTGGAAATATTTAATAACAATTGCCTGTCAAATATAATTTATATAACATTTATATATAGACTTATATAATTGGAAACATAAATATATCATTGATTTCTCGGTGGTATATACAGTAGACTCGGTTACAGTGAATGGCCGGCTATAGTGTACCAGAAAATCGACAAATTCGTAAGCATTTTAGACTCCCATAGAGTGTATATAACTTAATATCCCGTCCATTATGTGCGTTATTCTGTGTCCACTACTAACCAGCCGTTCCCTTAACCTACGCGCCCCCTCTAATAATACGGAAGTGTAGCTCCCTTTCCGTATAGTTATATCACATACACGTCGACCCTCTCGTACGCTATACTATCGACCCGAAAGTCTACTGTATATACAGAATCGGGAGTTGGCTTTGTTGGGGTAACATCTCACTAGTGGGTTAAGGTCTGGACGTGTGGTTAGCGGCCAGGGATAGCAGCGTCGACACCGTGTGGTTGGTGTGCTGGTGGGGCGCCAAACAGTAGTCCATTT